TGGGCTGACATATAACAATCGAAAGTTTTAACTTTATTTTTGTTCTCCTTCCTACTCAGCACTGATATACCAAAATCTAAGACATCAGAAACATGTGTCTGCATTTTTTAAAGTCTTGATATGGAATTTTATTTACTAAATATTTTCAATATTTCTTTGGTATCTGATTGAAATTATTTGTTCTGTCACACGGATAACACTGCACAAGAAATTTTATTTCTTGTAAACTGTATGTCTAAACATTTCTTTAAGGGATATACCAGCTTAAGACAAAAAATGACCTCAAAGAATCGATACAGTTAATTCAGTATTAAATCCCAGAACTTTCATAATATTCTCCATCTGTAAACCATTACTTCCACTCACCAAGCCCGTTAGCCAAACTCCGCTCGAAAGAATTTTTTTACGTGGAAGCTACTACGAAGTAAAGATTATGTATCGAATGAACCATGTCTTTGGAAGTGTAGTAAACTTGTTAGGAATTATTCATGTTTTCATGCATCTTGTCATGATGTAAGAGGCTAACACTTCTAGCTAGAAACAATGGATGCACTGTTTTGTTCCAAATTTTCGAATGGAGACACTTTGTGGTAATTTCTAAGAAATCTTTGAAAGCAGCCAAAGTAATTATAACACGTAGCTCTTGTATATTCTCGTATTCAATTATCGGACAAACAAACAAATGCCATCGAGGAATATAAGTAAGAAACAAAAGGAATACCTGTTATTTTTCTAAGAAAAGAAATATTTTAGCCTTGTATTCGTGAGCAATCTTGTGTACTATTAAACCACATGCATTTAGAATATATTGGAGCGTATATCGTAAAATGATGCTTTTGTATGATACCTGCCATAACTGAAAAATATTAAAAGTTTAGCTAATAATAATTATTGATTTGCGTTCATGTAATCAGTTACACTAAATGAATTATATACACATTTCAAATAAAACTTTAACGACTTAGGATGTGCTTTTTAATAGCTTTAAGCTGGTGATATTAACAGTTTATTAGCATTAATCATTGTAATTAATTATATAATTATGTCACCTGTATTTTAAACGTATAATTACCGTCATATAAGCATACTATAACATCAGATTTTTCTTGTAGTCTTTCCCGCGCTGATAGCTGCCACTTGGGCTGGAGTGAAAGGCCATTTTAGCAATACCATTGATGACATTCTTGTTCCCCAAGGGTACGTATTGAATATATTGATCTTCTTGGATATTGTTGAACGCATGTGAACTTATCGAAAACCTTGATAATAAATATAGACTCTAAAGTTTTTACAGTAAGATTTACTGAGTTATAAAAAATTTGAATTTAAATTCACTGTTTTCACGATGACACCAGTTGAAAAGAAAACGACAAGTCTTAATTAAGCTCTGTGGATTAAGAACTGAATTATTTGAGAGAAATTACTTTTTTTAGCTGCAGAAGTGCGTTTATTTTAAATGTTCCATCACTATATCAAAGTTCTTAAAACATATCTCTAGAAAATTTCATTAAAGTTATGAACAGATACATTTTAATTATCGGCGAATTCTTTACGGATTTAAAATATATTGGTTACATAAAATTTCAAAGAAATATCTACCTTAACAGAAACAAAAATATAAACTCGCATCTCTACCTCATTCGATATGACACTAGAGAGTAATTTCCAATCGCTTGAAGTTATGCAGCGTTTTTCATTTGATTTATTTAAGCCTAGTGAGCATTTTACCATTTGGTGTTGTAGGGTTTCCCTTAGTTTAAATAACCAATTATTCTAATTTTTCTTATCTTTTCTAAACTCCTTAGCTTCCTCTCGCATTTCCTCGTCAGGATACAAATTAAAGTTAAGTGAAAAGGTCATAAAAACAGACGAAATTTGAAGTTTATTCAGAGCGTAAATTCGCTAGCCTAGCGCACATTGCTATTTTGTCCTTGCTACTATTACGCGGAGTTACTTATACACGCCTTTTGGCCATTTAACCAGTCTCCAGGTAGGTTGTTGAGTATGACCGATTTGTATGACTATATAAAACATTATTTTCCATATTTTCAAAACCCTCCCACCTCTATTGCTGAACCTATTTTTTTACTGAATCGTTGTTGCTAGAAATATATGTCTATGAAAAATATTTAAGGAAAGAAGGCTTATATTGACCCATTCGAAGTGCCTGCCTACCTTTATATTTCCAGTATTATTCACCATTTTATGCTATCGCGGTAGATCTTGAAACATACTGCGGGAAAATGCGTGATCGCTGGTGTACATGCAGCGAATGACGAAAACATGAGACATCCTCTGAATTGTTCAAGATTTAGCTCTACTAAGTTTTGATTAAACTTTCCTCAATGATGCGAGATAAAGACACTTTTATTAAAAAACAGTAATTCGAAATTCAAGAGGGAATTGTAAATTTGGAGAAAAATATGAAACTAAGATAAAAAAAAAAAAAAAAAAAAAAAAACAAAAAAAAAAAAAAAAAAAAAAAAAAGAGTTCAAAGCATATGTTTGTTCTTTTACTTTAATTCTTTTCTCACAAATCAATTATGGTGCGCAAATTTGTAAAATAATAATAGTTTTCTTTTCATTTTTAATGAACTGTATTTTTAATTAACGGCACTCAGGCGCTCTATACAACAAAAACTGAAAGGAAAATTCTAAGGTTCATAAATATCGCAAACATACACATTGTATCCATTATTTTCTTCTAAACGAATTCAAGACACTGTTGCTCCAAATCTTTGCTGGTAAATGTAAGACTGAGGTCAAGGCAGGGTAGAGTATGCCCTGGCCATTGATATAGTACATTTTCTTAAACATATGCCAATATATAAATGTAAGATCTATCACAGCCTCAGGGCAAACGTTTCGACAATAAACTTGTAAGAACCGAATACTCAGATAGCACAAATTCAACTACGAGTATAAATCAATCATGAACAATGTGTATCTTTCAAACTGTGTGAAAGGGATTATCCATTTCCAGGTAATAAAAATGCCTTAATTGGTAGTTTGTATCAGTGTTGTTCCGTTTTGCCTTCTAATGACAAAATACCAAAACAATTGTGTACTGGTAACTGGTAATTAGATTTGATTTTAGTTGAATCACGTTTATAACAAAATAAATAGGACTGGTTTGAGATTTTCTTAGGTTCCCACTAGCATAATACAAATATTACCCGTTACTCAGAAAGAAAAAGCTCGCGAATATGGCATGTTAATTTCTCAAAGGACGGTTTATTTCACGCAAAGTAACCTTTTGCATGCTTTGTAGTAATCAATTAACTAGTCATTATTTAGCATCATTTTTAAGCATTCTTTAGAATTATTCTTCCTAGGTTAATGAAGTATAAGATTTATGCATTATACACTTCAACCCATAATTATCTATCTGCATTATGTAAAAATTTCGCTAATTTATACTTCGGGAAGAAGGGGGTTGAGTTTCGAGATTAAAATGAGACATTTTTACTTACTATTTAATCTTTTTACTTGTTTTATTTTTATTATTTTTTTTTAATTTACATGTCGACCGTTTACCACTCAGCATGAATTTGATTATGTGTTTCTCTTTCTTCCAATTAGAATGGTATCACATTTCTCAAATGAAATTTATTTCATTAGAATTCCTACATAAAAGTGGATTTCTTTGGATTTGATTAAATTTTATGTTAAATATATGTAAAATATATTGCATTATTATGTTATCTCCAGCGTGAACAATCATTTGAAGTCTCAACCGAATTGTGTTGCATGAACACAATTTAAGCTGTTGATCAAATTCTCTGTATTGCATATTAAAACCTATTTTTACAATATAAGATTAGAAGAAACTGTAATTGATGAAATATTATGTATCACGAAACCTTCGGTACTATTTAATTATTTTGTGTTGCTTTTTTCCACCATGTTATGAAGAATCGAAAATATCATGCCTTCGATACATTTTTCTGATGAAATTGGATATCTGTTTCGTAATTTGAAAGCCAAAATTCGAGTCATTACAAAAACACTAAGAGTTATTTAAGAAAGTACTACTTTAAAACTTCTAATGTCTCTATAACGTTACATTGCGTTAAACTATTTCAGTACTAAACAATAACGTTAAATGGGCAAATTGTTAATTCTAAGAATGTTTTGAATCTTGCTGAAGAAGATCTTTAATTAAGCGGACGGACAAACTTTTAACTCTAAGAACTTTTTTTAGTTTATCTTCCAAATGCTTCTTTTTGAATGTAGAAAGTTTTTGAGTATGAAATCTTACTTATACCAGCTAATCATGAAAATATTGCAAGAATATTAAGTAATGCATAATCATAAAGACAAAAGTTTCGCATTAAAAGACGTTTCTCGGATATTTTCAAAATTGATGCAAATAAAGATTAAAAGGATGTCCTAAAAACCTGTATGTTTGTTTTATTAAGGCAATGGCTATCTGCCTAAAGGAAAGGATGACTACATAAAGGACTTTCTAGGGAACACTCATGCGTAGTCCCCTTACATAAGAAAAAAATTATGAAAACTCCCATACGGTCAGTCTGTGTTCAGAATTTAACATAGTATCACCAATGTTCAGCTGTCGTAACAACTGGACCTCTAGTGGGCAGAGCACTCCCATGTGACATTAGATGTCCACTCATGTGACATTTTGCAAATACGCGATCTGAGTAGTGCGCTATCCTTTATTTTCAAACATGATGTTGGGTATATCTGTAAATATTTAAATCCTGTTTATAGCATTGCTATATTACTAAGTTGTTATTTATTCGCTTTTTATTTGTAGTCACAAATATTTTTTCTATACCAGTGCTTATTTATGATAGAGATTTTTTGACTTTGCTGCTCTGGGTGTTCATAATGTAAAAATTGCTAAAGTTAATCTCGAGATACGAGCTCCACGGGCTTTGGCGACCGAGCCTTAAAAACTCGCGTTTCACCAGGCCCGTCAGTTTTAAATTCATTTTGACATGGCGTCAACTTTGCCGAGATGTATCTTCCCTTTGCCGAGAGAAAAATAGTCAAGTGCCTTCTATATTGGGGTAATCATCATCGAAGTGCAAAAATTTTCCCGGAATTTCCAGACTGATATGACAGAAGGAAAAGTTCCTAGAGATTTTAAAAATTATTTTTATTTAAATTATTTTTGTGCTTGCTTTCCTAATGAGCTGTTTGTGAATATTGGTTTAGATATTTTATGAACTTCTGTTAAGGAATGTTCCTCTAATAGACATTGTACGGAATGACAAATTTCATTCGACAGGGATAGTGCCTTGGGCATAGACACCCTTATCTCGCGCCATTCTACTTCGATGATGAAAACTCTTTAAAAGTAATGTGTTGCCACTTCCTAAAGTAAAATACCGTATACGCTGGTCTAATGTCCGCACCCCGAATTTACAGATAAAATTTATGTAAGAAAAAGTGACCCGCAGAATGTCTGCACCCCAAAAACTAAAGAATTTCTTATTTTAAAATATATTTTTTTCAACATCGCCTTTTTCCCTTTGGTCAATACCATTAGTCAATAAACATATTTAAAGAAAGAATATGCATTTGTTTTCTCTTTGGTTGGCGCTAGGATGGAAAACAGATATTTTCCTTGCATTCTGGTGCAGCTGTTATTCAGTCATAACATCGGCTCCAGCAATCCCCTCGGCAGACGCGATAATAAACTAAGGCAATTCAAACACGTTTTCATCACAATGGCTTCCAGGAAATGCTATTTTGTAATGAAATTACTTCCTCTCCTTCCTCCTTGGAGCATTCGCACATTTCAAGTTCTCTCTTTTCATTCATAGTAACATTTGGAATTCGTGGTAGTTTAGCAAGTAGCGTGCTTGAAATGGGAAAATACAGCAGGTATACAGCGGCTTTTAAACTGTAATTTGCACAAGAAAATGTAAAAAGAGCAACAGCAAGAGTATATAAGGTGAACGAAATGTGTGTGCGTAATTGGAGCAAACAGCGTGATCAACTGTTGGCAAAGAACAAAACAAGACGTGCATTTCGTGGTTCGAAATGTAAGTTTCCGAACTTTTGCGTATGTTCGTAATATGCGCACTCAGGGGTACGCAATAACACGGGAAATGGACCAAATAAGAGCGCTTGCTGCAGCACGAGAAGACATTCATACATCGCAATTCAATGCGAGTGGCGGCGAAAGATGAAACGTATTTGGATTTTCGCTTCGCCGGCGTACG